TAATTTGTGTATAAAAACAGGTGTATTTCCCGACCTATTTAAAAAAGCTCTGATTCATCCTATACATAAGGCGGGGGATGCAGATCAGGTAAATAATTATAGGCCAATCTCAGTTTTGCCTTGCTTGTCTAAAGTTCTGGAAAAAATTATGAACAATCGCCTAAAGAAATACTTGGAAGATAATAACATACTTTCGAATAACCAATATGGCTTTAGAAACAACAGGTCTACAAATGACGCAGTGTTTGAACTAACAAACCATATTGTGCAGGCTTTGGATAAAGGTAGGAAAAGTGTTGCAATCTTTTTGGATTTAGCCAAGGCCTTCGACACAGTCTCCATCCCCAAACTGATTGATAAATTGGAGCGTGTTGGTGTAAGAGATCGACAATTAAAACTTTTTGAAAGTTATTTGACTAATAGGACACAGTGTGTAAAGATTAATGAGTACATCAGCAAGGAGCTTCCTATAGAATTCGGTGTGCCACAGGGAAGTATACTTGGGCCCACGCTTTTCCTAGTTTACGTGAATGAAATGTGCAAACTGAAAATTACCGATGGCAAATTATTAGCTTTTGCAGATGACACCGTACTTATTTTTACAGGTGAGACGTGGGACCAAGTCTTCGGGATGGCACAATTAGGATTCAATATAGTAACTGAGTGGTTGGCAAGTAACACATTATCTCTCAATGTTGACAAGACTAGAGTCATGCAATTTAGCATCAAAGGATCGAAAATAGCAGGAGTTGATCGATTTATTACTGCTCATAAACACATACATGGCAGCAACTTTGCATGTACTTGTCCCAACTTACATACCGTCACTAGCATAAAGTACTTGGGTGTAATCATAGATGATAAACTGTGTTTCGCACCACATATTGACCTACTTACGGGAAAAATTCGGAAGCTTATATATATATTTAAACACTTGAGACATGTCGCAAGGCCAACAGTTCTAAAAAGCATATACTTCGCTTTGTGTCAATCCCTGTTAGGGTACTGTATTCTATCTTGGGGTGGGGCTTGTAAGTCAAATTTAATAAAGCTTGAGCGGGCACAGAGAGCTGTACTAAAAGTAAGTACTTTTAAACCGTATCGCTTTCCCACAAAAGATCTGTATGAATACTGCGAAGTTCTGACAGTACGGCAGTTGTTCATTCTGCAAATCATATTGAAGCAGCATTCAACGCGCAAAACAGACGCGACATCATCATCGGTTTTGAGACGCAATTTGCGTACGGTAAAGCTTCCGCCAGCTGATAGACATAGGACCTCATTCAGCGAACGCTTTTACTACTTCCTAGGGCGTTTTATATATACCAAAATCAATAAAGTCATTGATATAGATTCAGGCAGTGAGTATCAGTGTAAGAAGAAAGTAACAAACTGGCTCCAAAAGCTCTCTTATAACGACACTGAAAACCTTATACATCCAGTAACATAAGCAACACACACACACACACACACACACACACAGAGAGAGAGAGAGAGGGGGGGGGGGGGGGAGAGAGAAAGAGAGACGCACACACAAATACACATTCAACATGAACTCAGTGCACGTACATATATGTAGATACCCCACACATTCCGTATACAACGGGTTTACTAAATAGTTATCCTAATTATCCTTATCCATACTTAATATTTAAGTTCGCAAATATTTAGCTTATGTAAGTAGGTCTAGGTTTCTTATTGTAACCAGAACTGTCTTATTTATTTTAGCTGTGAAACTGGAAGGTAGCTGGTACTTATAGCACAGGATATCCTATTTTAAGTACCAGCAGAACACTAGAATTAAGATTTTTTGTACCTCTTTTGAGAATTCTACTACTATGTACCTACTTGTATATTGTGCCAATAAAGAAATTTATTTATTTATTATTTATTATCTTTGGGTGGTTATAGATATATGTGGGGTGCATACGATGCGTCAATTGGCTTTCTGCGCTGTGTACCTGCCACCGCCTGTACGCCGCCCCTCTTTGGAACTATTTATCGATAGTTGTAGTTCAGCGTTTGAACAGGCGAAGGACTCTCACGTTTGTATTGTGGGTGATTTTAACTTGGGCACTATAGACTGGTTATCGGTAAACAATACAAGTGATCACAATAAAAATAAGTCCAGCTTAAGTGAAACTTTGCTTGATTTTACTTATGTAAACAGACTTGACCAATTCAACTTAGTGTCAAATTCTGGTGGACGGATATTGGATCTTGTATTGTCTACTTTAACATCATGCAACGTAATTAAGTCTTTAAATCCTATTAGTGACGTAGATCGACAGCACCCTCCTTTGGACATTGTTATTACTTTGCCAAGGGAAACCAAGCTGGGGTACAACATTACAAATGTGAGACCTAAATTTTATAAGGGAGACTATGTTTCCATTTGTAAATTCTTTCAAGGACAGGACTGGAAACAATTATTGGGGGGGCTCAGTGGTGTGAATGAAATGCTTGAGATATTCTATGAAGTTATTTACGCCGCTATAAAAAGATTCATACCATCTCGTCCACCAAAAAGTAATAAGTATCCTCCGTGGTTTGACCACAGGCTAATTAAAATGTTGAACAAAAAAAACAAGCTCCGGAAGCGATATAAAAAATATAACAACCCGTTAGATGCAATAGAATTAAAATATATTGCCGAAAATTGCGACCGTCTAGCTACCGAGTGTTATAATAGTTATATGAAACTTCTAGAAGATGAACTTGGAAAAAATCCTAAATTATTTTGGACGTATATAAAAGCCAAGAGAAGAGGGTCTAGTACATATCCAAGGTCTATGACAGATGGATCAAATACCTCTTCTGATGGTACAGAAATATGTCAATTGTTCGCCAATCACTTTGCATCCGTCTACACTATAGATCAAAAATTTAGTAACGATTTTAATTCAGAATACTTGCAACTCTTAGAAAAAAATAGCTTATGTTTAAATAGTCCTTATATTAACTACGAAACATTACTTAAAAAATTAAAAAGTTTAGATAGTAGGAAAGGAGCTGGACCTGACGGAATTCCACCAATGTTTATTTCATCTTGTGCATCTCAATTGGTTAATTCACTTATGCTCATTTACAATAAGTAATTAATAAATTAGTAATTTTTAAATCAGAAAGTGCAGAAAATATATCTAACTATAGGCCGGTTTCAATATTATCGTCATTTGCAAAAATTTTTGAAGCATTGGTTTGTCCAATTTTACAAAAGCACATCAAGCTATATCTTAGCGACCGTCAGCATGGATTTGTTGCACTTAGATCCACAAGTACTAATTTAGTCCCTTTTACTGAACTTTTAATAAAAACTGTGGATTCAGGACATCAAGCTGATGTCATATACACGGACTTCAGCAAAGCCTTTGACAAAGTGTCCCATAGCATTTTAATTTCCAAATTGCACGCTTATGGCATTAATGGTTCGTTGCTCGAATGATTGAACTCGTATTTACAGGATAGGAATTTTTTTGTGGTAGTGAATGGATATCAATCAACTCTTCATCACATTTCTTCAGGAGTCCCCCAAGGCTCACATTTGGGCCCTACGTTATTTAATTTTTTTATCAATGACATCCCAGATTGTTTCCAGTTCTCTGAAGTCTTCATGTATGCAGATGATCTAAAGTTCGTTAGGAAAGTAGAATCAAATGATGATGTTATGGATTTACAGGGTGACCTTAATAGGCTTATGCGTTGGTGCAAAAACAACAGAATGTATTTAAATCGTGGAAAATGCTATCATGTAAAGTTTACGCGAAATAAATTCTAAATATTATATAGATAATGACAAAATAAATGAAGTTGACACTATTCGGGATTTAGGAATTCTATTTGATAAAAAATTGACGTTTGAACCGCATTTAGATACTATCATTAAAAAGGCATCAAAAATGTTAGGATTTGTTTTAAGAAATTGTAAAGCTTTTCGCAATAACAAAACAAAAATTAAGCTGTATAATAGTTTAGTTCGAAGCACATTGGAATACGGTAGCACAGTCTAGAGGCCGCATTATGCTGTACACTCATTGCGACTTGAACGTGTACAAAAGAGATTTCTCTGTCACCTTGCATTCTCCAATGGCATCACCAAAAAAATACGCTCTTACAAAGGCAGAATGAGGCACTTTTGAATAAAATCCCTAGCAAGACGTATAAGCCTAAACGATGCAATGTTCGCGTACAAAATTCTAGACCAGAAAATTGACTGTCCTCAGTTGGTAGCCCTTTTTAAGTTTCGCGTTCCATCCAGACTCCCGCGCAGCCCAGTCGCGCCACTTTGTTCCCCGCTGAGAAGAACAGTTCTTGGTTCCAATTCTCCCTTTGCAAGAATGTGTAAGGTAGTGAATCACTAGAGCGATGTCATTGACTTATACTTCGATACAATTTGTAAGAAAAAGTCCGTCCTTAGTGATTTGCTATGACGCAATAAATGTAATATGTAAATTAAAAAACTAAAATATTGTATTAATACTTTCTCTTTGTGAGATTTTTTCATTAATTGTTTTGAAACAGTCAACCTTTTTATCTATTTTTAAAGCATAAGCGGTGTTTACCTATAAGTGGCTGTTGCATTGTTATTACTAAATGGCATGTATTAGTTTAAGGAATTAATGTAAACAGTTGTTGGTGAACCTTTAATAAATAAATAAATAAACACATACATTCACACTTACACTCATATCCCGCATGAAATTCTTATGTAAATTAATACTAAGCTCAAATTGTAGTCTTTAAATGTTCTCAACTTTTATTTCATCACTTGTTTTAAATAAATAATTGTATTTACCGATTGCATATTCCAAAGGGGACAGGACTGTTATTCCTTACTACAGGTTACTGCGTAACCTATATATCTGTATCTATATATATATGTAATTGAAATTAGAACTAAGTCACAAGCCTTTGTACTACAATCACCTTTTTACCAATAAATTATTATTATTATTATTATTAAAGCTTGATTTTCATCTTGGTTTGTTGGTTCAACTAACAGCTCAACACTATGATATTCCACTTGATCATGTGTTGAGTCGCCTAGATGACTATTTGAACTGGCAGGCAAAACATTTACAACATTTTCAGGAACTTCGACGAGATCTTGAAGTGTGATTAAATTGTCATCTTCCTTAAATAAAAAACATTTAACTTTATCCCTTTCTTGCCCATATCCTATGTCAGAATCCGAAGAAGATGGACTGGGCATATAATCTTTGTCTCTCACACTGTGTATCTTTTTTAGGCCCATTGAGCCTAAAAAAAACAACTTATTTAAAATACACTATCATACAATCATTCGAGCCATATTTAATTCACATCTTGTAGTAAAAAAATATCATACAGTTCGCAGAACTCAACAAAATGTAGGAAGCAAGTTTTTTATTTGTTGAAATATTAAGTCATAGAATAAAAGTTATAGTAATAGTCACATTTATAAAGTATAAGTATTTTAGCTTGATGCTAGTTATCGCGGTTGCATACGAAGTCGAAGTCAGAAAAAAATAGCCTATGTAATTCCGTGGGGGCTTTCCTTCATACATCAAAACCGTTTCGGTTTTTTAGCGTTTTTCATGAGTCAGAAAACTAGAATATACTTTAGTCACCTTTACTAACAGATTCAGTTCGGGGTTATCCGACTTGTTTCAGTGACGGTCGCAACAACGACGTTGCTGCTTGAGTATGCTTTCTCAAATGAATGTCTGACCTTAACACTAATCAGACGGACAACTACCGAACTGAATCTGTTGGTAATCTTCTGGATTAACCATATACCTACTCAATATTATAACATTAATCAATGAAGAACACAGTGTAGTGATAAACCAATTATTTATCGTTCTAACTTAATAAATTAGGTAAATACCTTCTCTCAAACGGGGGACTGATGGTCTTCTATCATTACAAGTAAACGTTGCATCTAAAAGAAATAAAAAATAGGCACTTAAGTGAAAATAAATTTACATTTTGAGGTTATTGTACTAATGAATTTGATCAATGATAGTACTTTCTCACCTTGGACAGCATCATCCCTATTTTTCAATTTTTCTAATATTTTTCGGGTGCGATTATTCATTATTTAAATATTCTAAAAAGCAATCAAAACAAGAGAGATCCTTCAACTAACCGCAATACTTTACAAATACAAAAACAATCCCGACTCCCGACTAGTCCCGACGCAGCGAGCAGCGCGCGGTCGGAAAGGGGACGTCGCATATTTATGATTTATCTCTGTCCCACGCAGTCAAAAAATAGGACTATCTCTTTTTAGTGAATCTTGTCACTTATATTCCTAGCCGTAAAGACTGTTATTAATAAATGACTTTATGGAAGCGAATAGTTTCCGAGCTACATGGTATGTTGTTAATAAGAGACCTACAAATTACATTTATTTTTCGACTGATCTTTACATGATACCGCAAAAATTATGTATTTGTAATTTAACTCACGATCATAGAATTTTAAATGAAGATCAGACTAATAGGTTCTAACGTATTGTGGAGATCCGACCATTTCTTCGAAAACGAAAATTGTATTAAAGAGAAATACAAATATATTATTACCTAAAGAAAAAGAAAGAGAAAAAAAATATAAAAAAAATCAGTTAAAATACGAGTTTTGCAAAAGTGGGACATCCGACCTTATGGTTCTGGTGTCGAGAAATTTACATAACTCACGTTTGCAGCTGCTTATGTGATAAATTGTAAAAGTTTATTCGAACCACCTACCAGCACTTTACACTACACTCAATATGCCACAACTCTTGAACATTGAGGCCGCACAAAAGACCCTGGAGTAGTGCTTTACCAGGCGGATGGAGGAACTAGAGGCACAACTTCAATGCGCAGGCGCAGTAAAAGACACCGTTGCCAAGGTAGCAGAAAAGTTCAGAACCTTCAGAGAACTAATGTACAACATGCTGGGGCTTCTGCGGAGGCAGATCAGCGAACAAGGCATGGGCGCAAGGCTCTTCTTTTCATGGGAGGTGCCGAGTCAGAAGGTGAGGACAGCAGTCTCAGCATCCAGGATATTATTGAAAATAAACTGCAACCGAAGAACTTCTCAGCAGAATCCTTTACTGTGTGTCATAGGCTGGATACACCAAACAAAGAACACCACCGGCCCATACTGAGCTCAAGACCTTGATCTGGACAACGAAGACTGCACTGAAAGGCTCGTTGGTTTCAGTGAGAGAATTCTTAACCAAGGCTAGGCAATCGACATTAACCAAGGCAAGGCTTCACTTCGGTGCTCGTGCATGTTGGACGCAGGACGGCTCTATGATAATCAAAGCACCCGATGGAGACCGCCACAAAATTAATTTTCCTAAAGAACTACTGCCTTTAACAGCAAAGTATCCAATTGCTTCCAGTGAAACGGCGTTCCGGGCACAGGGTAAAGCTAAGAAGATTGCCTCGCCTGGCCTACAGAAGAACATGTCGGGCAAGGTCTAATCCTTTCGGCACTATGGAATCTGTTGTAAACATTTAACGGAGTCGCAACCTTGTATCCATGTAGCCCGCTGAACAGTAATTAGGTAAACATAACTGTTCATATCACTTTGTTATTACGAGTATTATTAATAAATATAATAGCCGGGGAACCAGGTATACCCTATAAAGTAAGTCCCTGGTGCCCCGACATACCTCGGGCCATCTACAACAACAGGTAGACGACCCCCCCCGTGTGGGGACCCCATGTTCCCTCTGCTCCCTGGAAGCGAGCGCGCTTCGCAACGCGCTCGATGCCACCCCGGCCTGCTTCTACTAGGGTGACAGATGGCCTCACCTGTCACCCCCAGGCCTGCGCTTATGGAGGACGGAGGTCGTTCTGCGACATCCGGCGCCTGAGTCGCCTGCGGTACTTGGCCCGTTCCCGGGCCTGGCGGGCCGGGAACGGAGTCCTAAACCTCTCCCGGTCCCGCTCCGCCGTCTCCTTCGCGAGCATAACTTGCTCGCAGAAGGAGACGGCAGAGTTCCACGCACTCTCGCTCCGCACGATAGCCGCAATCAGGCTATCGAGCGAGAGAACTCCCACTCCGATGGCCGCCACGAGGTCTCGCCTCTGCTCAACCCACGCCGGGCACTCTGCCAGCGTGTGGAGAGCCGTGTCCACGGTCTGGCCATCGCAGTGGTGGCACTCAGGCGTTGGCTCCTTGCGGATCAGACACAGGTGATACCCGAAACATCCTTTCCCAGTGATCACCTGCGTCAGTCGGTATGAGAGGGTCCCGTGACGCCTCTCGAGCCAATCCTCCATAACGGGTCTTACCGCCGCGATGACGGCGTGCCCGGCGCTCGGTTGCCCGAGTGCAGTTATGTTTCGGTTCGGCGTGAAATAAGCGGCCACGACCGCTATATCCCCAACCATCGCCGCTACGCAGCCCCGTCCCCTTGCAACCACTGCAAGAGGTGGAGTGCCGGCTGCGGTACCGTGCACCATTGCCGCCGTGCCGTCCAAGTCGGTCTCCCAGGCCAGGGAGGCCTCTAGCAGGCCCGAGAAACCGATGGACATATGGCTCGGCGACAGCGATCCGCCTCGAGGCGGGCTCTCTCCCTAACGTGGGCCTTGCTCTCGGCCACGAGGAGTTGTCCCGCCTCGACGATGGAGCGCACGACCGCTACCAGGGCCTCCTGTTCGGGACCCCTGGCTACCCCGGACGTCCGGAGCAGGCAATCGGCCAAGCCGATTGCCTCTTCGATCTGGTTCACGGGGTTGGCGGTTTTGCCACCCTCCTTCTCGCTCCTCACCTCGGTCACGTCTGTCGACCTCTCGGACGCGACCCTCTTCACAGGAGCGTAGGGGCTCCTTCTTCTTATCCTGGGCAACCCTAGGGAGTCGGCCTCCGCCGCGAGCGCCTCTGCGGCTTGTGCCGACTTTGGGAGCCATGGCGTCATCACTCGAGGCCGACTCCAATTGCCTCTTCAGGCCAAGGTGAAGTGAGCGCCTTTTGCGCTTTGGAGTACCCTTCTGGTGCTGCTCCGCAGCTGAGACCATCGGGGTACTCGCTTCGCTCATCTCCGAGGCAGTGTCGGTGTTCGACACTACCTCCAGGTTTTTTGCGTCCTCCGCGTCATTTCGGTCGCCGGATTTACTGCTCGGCGACGGGCAGGTTTGACAAAAGTTGCTCCCCCCAGAGTACGTTTGGGAGCTGCCGGAGCCGTTTGGCTCCGGGAGGGATTCTCCAGACGCAGTGCGTCTGGTACCCTCCTGGGTAGATTTAATCATCTTTGGGCCCATGTCATAAACTTAAGTTTAACGTCCTTCGACGGGGACGCCTTCGGCACTGGACTCCCTCCAGCGACTCAGCCCCTTGCCAGGCGTCAGAACGTGGGCTTAGAGCATTTTTATAGAGGTTTACGTCCTCGCGGATCCGAAGATCCACCGGTCCTGTCCATTCAGGATTACGGCTGGGCCGGACGGGACCTGCACCAGACCGGGTCCGTCCGCCCCCTAGGATTTTTTATAGAGGTTGCCTTCCTCGTAGCCCTCGAAGAGCAGTCATTCCTGACTGTTGTCAGTCAGGGTTACGACATGGCCGGACGGTGGTCTGCGTCAGACCAGTGTCCCCCACCTCTGGACAGAGCCAGCGGCAGTGGACCCGTCCGCCCCCAGCCCGCTCTCCCCTATGCCCTCTGCCAAACAGAGGGACACGCGGAAAGCAGCCCTCCGAACAGCCTTTGGCGGGTCGTTCCCACCTCGGCCGGAATTGGCCGCAGGCGGCGGCGCCTCCCCCACCTAGGGAGGCGCTGCCGTCTCCGTTGCCCAGGGTGCACCACATGGAAGTTCCGGACCACGCACCCCTGTGTATTTTTTAGCCTGAAATTGTGTTTGCGTTGTTACTGTTTTCATAACACGTGGTGTTAACTGGTGGGTAGTGCAGAGAAAAACCTTAACCCATCTAGTGAGAAGACTTTAATACCTTTTGTAAGTACATACATTCTTTGGTATCTTAACTAGTATATATTTATATATTATATATTTAACTATATTCTTTGTATCAGTAGTATATTCTCATTATCTATATATTATAGTTTGTAATATCGATAATAGCTGATAGCGATGATCCTTACAATTCTGCCTACGAGTCTGCAGTTTCCATTGATGAAGACAGTTTTGCTTCATTACCTGACACGTTAGGTGACCGCTTGCGAAACACATTTAACTACCAATCCAAACACCTGCTTAATGTGTGCTACATGAAATCGCAGAGCATACCCAGCCATTTTGGCGACTTGACAGAAGCTTTCACTGACACAAACATTCACGCCATCCTCATCTCCGAGAGCTGACTTAAGCCTAACCTTGCTTCCACATCTGTTCCTTTTCCAGGCTACATTCTTGTCCGAAATGATTGAATTGGCCGGAGAGGCGGCGGGGTAGCCATTTATATCCACTGTTCTCTACTTTACAAAAAATTAGTTTCTTCTCCAGCCCCCTACTCTGCTGATGCCGAATACCTTTTCCTTGAGGTATGTGTCAAAGGAACCAGAATGGTTTTGGGTGTCGTCTACTGTCCTCCCACTACTGAATACTTCTCCAGTCTGGAAACAGTATTGGAATCTTTAGAGTCAAAATATGCACATCATGTCACATGGGAGATTTTAATACTGATCTTACCCGCCAATCCTCACGATCCTGTAAACTCTTCCAGACTGTCGAATTAGCCGACATGCAAGTCTTACCTCTCCAACCAACTCACCACAATAACCTGGGGAAAGACACATGGCTTGATTTGATGATTACGTCTGGGTCAGACACTTGTCCGTAACCCCGGTCAACTTCCTGCTCCTGGTTTTTCTAACCATGACCTCATTTTCCTTACTTACGTCCTGAAACCTCCCAAATATTCTCCCAGGGTATTGCACAGGCGTTGTTTTGGTCGTTTAGACGTATACAAGCTACGTGGTGATGCTTCTAAACTCAACTTGGACGTGATAACGGCTGCTCCTAGCTTGGACGATAAAGTCGAAGCTTTTAATAATGCTGTACGACACCCATGCGCCTATAAAGAAGATCAAATTCAAGAAACCACCTATGCCCTGTATGACAAGGGAGGTCCGCGCAGCTATGGGG